AAAACATTACTACATGCAACAGGATATGTTTAACATAATCTGCTATGTGCAATAATGAAGACATGCGTTAAAAACTAACCATGATACGATACAATAAAGTTTGCTTAAAGTGATACTACGTCTTAGAATGAACATAAAATTTAAGTTCTCGAAATGGTCAATATGAGTATATATTCATCAGTGAACTTATCTGGTGTCATAAAGTTATGGAAATGGAAAATTCACAAAACTAAGTAATTATTGAACGCTTAACGCTTAATGGTAATACTAAGCTTTTATGCAATAGTTAATTGCATATTTATGGATGACTAAGTTTTCGAATTTATCGGATTATATAAGGTTTCTGTTATGTTAATTCTTAAATTTTATGTTCATTCTAAGGCGTAGTATCACTTTAATGTGAATGGACAACAAACAATGATTTGTACTTGCAATTAAAGCTGCTGGTGGGCGTATGTCACTATATGTAAGGCTATCTTTTTAACTTATAAATACATGTAGTTAATCATTATAAAATATTGTCAGAACATTTAAATTTTGACAGATCTGCTTTTATTTCAGTTTAAACTGCTTGATTTGATTGAGTCATCGGAATGATTAATCTACAGACCCGACAGAAAACGAAAGAAATGGATAACAAAGTCAATATTTATTCAGCGTTAGCGTTAAATGCATGCTCTTTGGTGTTATATCTAATGGCGATATGCCAATTCTAAAACTGTGGAAGAGTGACCAATATTTTCCGTTGCTTGTGTTAGTTTTCCCATGTGACCAACTCCCTTAGTTTAAGTAATTAATTGAAGATTATCCTAAATATAAAGCAGTCAAAAATTTATAACGAAGCTTTGGCATTACGTAAAAGATTATATATATATATATCTAATTTACATAATCTTCATAGTTTATAGGTTGGATTGTATATCTTTTTTGTAGTCTAATTGTAATTATACCAATCTTTCGTTCCATTTATTTCGTTTCTATTTGGAGAATTACTGATTGGCTGTTTTGAATGGCAGTCTTTGGCGTGATAAAGGAGAAGAATGTACCATTATTTTAAACCTATAAAAGGGAGACAACCACTGTTATTTCTGGTGTATTTATTCAATATCTTTGAAATTTAATTACAAAGGATGATGATTCTTGTACCTCGTGTGTAACCATAGAATTGACCAGATCGTCCTTTGGATGTTAAAGAGAACAAGATGGTTTCAGAGGCCTCTCTAGTGTTCAGTAATAGACGTTGAGACCGTGATAATCTCACTTTTAGTCTCCACAGAAGCTATAGTTGTTCCACTGAGGCAGAGAGAAATCGTTGTCTTTGTTGCTTTTCTTTCTATCTGAAGATGAGAACTAACTACTAATGGCTTCAAAAACGATATCTGACAACAATCTGATGCTATCCAGAGGCCTATACATTCAGTCTTTTCCAGTCGAATTGCACAGGTTTCCTAATCGAAACTCTTCTGGCTAAATAATACCAGCCATATAAATCGTCAAAGAGTTTTGATGCAAGCTGATCTTCTTCTATTAGAAGGGCAATTGAAAAAATCTCTTGGTCAAATATTCAAGAAACGAGCTGTATCCTGGAAGGGACGTGGAATTGCTTCTAAAATTATCACTATTGTAATAACACTAGTCAAATCGGTCTAGTTCTATCAAATCTTTACCGGCAGTAAACCAGCCCCATCTGTAACGGTGAGTTTATGGCGGCTATATGTAGTTTTAAACACCCGCATGATTTTTTTTAGTATAAACAGCAATTATTAACAACGATATAATGGTATAGAAAAATTACATACTTAATGGGATACAGTAACAAGACAGAAACTGCTTAAAATAAATAACTTCCGGTTAAGCGTGCATGATTTTATCAGAAATAGGATTCATATATGAATTACAAGGTTTGAAAGTAAACCCATTTTTTTCAGGAAATTGTCTGAGCTAACAATGAATTATTGAAAGGCATATATTATATAGACAAACTTTTTTTTATAATAGTTTATACCATTTGTCCATGAACAACATAGTGTAACAATGAAAAGATGGATTCGTTTGATACAGTTAGTGATACCAAATGACACTATGGATATAATCCGATAAATCGTGTATTATATCATAAATCATTGAGTGAAATCTTACAGATACCATGTGTATGATTTTTCTATTGATATTAAGTTATGATAAGCAGTTCAAACAATGAACCTCGATCTGAGCAGTAACGTATTCTATTCAGTTCTTAAGTTTTATCACATCACTTATTGAGCGGATTAGTTCTACATTTTAAAATATTTCAAAGTTATGTATACCTATATCCAATTTGATACGCCTTTTCTCGCGTATATCAGGTAAAATGGTCACGCAAATTGTCCGATTTCTGTCAATAGTTGCTTTTGATTCAGCTTTATAAGTTGATACTTTCTGGTGTAACAGGTCTTCCATGCAGTTTGCATGTTTCAAGTAATGAAACGGGATTCATTTCATCGATAACCACTGTATCTTCACCTCACTGATAACATTGGAACTTCGAAAAAGTCCATTTCTCCCAACTGTCTATACAAAGTGTCTATTATCTATTCCAAAACTGCTCTAATATGTCTACCTGTCTAGTTTTGCAAAATCAGACTGCGGTTTCTGAATCGCTGGTATTTTTGCATGGAAAACAGTTTTACTCTCATCCAACTTCTATCCATGCTGCTGTCATTATGTCGCTTGTCTACGCCTAGCAAGTTCAGTATGGGAAAATTGGCATCTCGGCAATGAGCTGTGTACAGCAAATAAACCAGTCATTTGTGAGAGATGTCCTAACCGCCAAAACAAGCTGATTAGAGTTTTTATTTGCACAGTCTTCGGAAATATTCATTATGTTTATCTTTCTGAAATTAAAACTCTGTAGCTTGTTCGACTATTCCTCCAAAGCTATTCGCAACAAATCCACGAAACCCATGACTTGGGCATGCGATAGAGATAACAGTTTTGAGAAGGCTATGAGACAGACCAACTATGTGAATGCTAAATGAGTGAGTGATTTCTCAGGATTCTCACACAATCGATAAACTTCTGAATGCCAACTTTCTGTTCCTTGTCCTTGAAAACTTTTTCAACAGCATGATCGATTCCAAGTACTTAATGTCCACAACATTTCAGCGTTTGCGCAGACTTTACACCTAGGGCTTCTAACATGACCTTGCAATCTGCAGCCTTGTCAGACATAAAAAATGATTTTTGAACTTAAACTCCTATGCAGCAGCATCATTCTGACCACATACTCAGTTATGTATGTGTGACATCCCATGGTCAGCTTTCCTCGTAGCGTCATCTAAGCCAATGGTAACCACTGATTAGTTTGCATTCAGTAAACACGAACCAAATGTGAAAGGACAACAAAGAATGGTTAGTACTTGCAATCAAAGCTGATTGTGGGCGTATGACACCTTGCTTCTAGTGCAAAAATGAAACAGTTCATAATATTATTATGAATTATTAGTATCAAAAATTGAGCATTTTGTTTATCATTGTATAGAAATATTTCTTCAATTCGTAGAACTGTATGGTCATCAAAGTCACTTATTTACTACTGATGAGGGTGGTGCAAAACTGCGTCAGTACTTTAGTGTAGTAAAAACTTTCATTTCCCGTTTCTACAAAAAGATAGTTATTTCTTAATTTAATTAATTTATCTTTATAAACCCCTCCCAAGATTTAAATGATAGTATCTCTTTTTTCCCCACGTGTAGTGTTTTAGCACATTTGGATTTGATATCGGTTTATAGTGTGGTAGTTGTCATTGGTTCCGCTGGATCAATTGAGACTTGGTTTTGTTGAGATGTACTTTTCTTTTCATGGGATTGTTAAGTATTTTAATTTTATTTCATTCGGTTTCAAAAGTTTGAATATGACGCCCACAATTGCTCGTAAACACTCTACAATTCTAACCCGATTCCGACAAAATTTGACGTATTTGTTTATTATCACTCTATTGAAATAAAAAAAAACTAGAAATATTTGATATGAGTTAATGCCATTGTTCTTAAAACCGCGTTCACTCTAGAAGGCACAATTCTTCACACATTTATCTGGGATAGACTTGATGGATTATTTCATTTCGTTGGATGAAAGTATTTCATTTCTTCTGCTTGAGTGGACGTTATGGTTTGTTTTATTTGTTTTGTTTAAAATTAAATATTTCATTCGTTCTGTTGGGATGGTCATTATGAATTATTTGGTTTGTTTCAATTGGTTTTAAGCATATTAAGCCTTCTACTTAGGTAATGGATAATAATGGATATATAATCCATGAAATAAAGCATTGAATTCCTTTTGCAGAGATGAAATTGAACATGCTTTTGTAGGGATAGAACTATTTGTTTTTGTCTTTGTAGGGATAAGATCTTTGATTTCTTTTTGCAGGGGTAGGCTTATTAGCTAGGTTCAACTCAGTGTTGTAGATGTTATTGTCCTCCCCAGGTGTAAAATGCGTCTAGTTGTCGGATGGGACGATATACCTTGGCCCTGCACATAAACGTTCCACCGAAGTTGAAACCCGACTTAGTCTAATACCGCTGCCCTGGCACTATTTCCATCTTTTCACACTTCATGACGTTGTCCGCCTTCGTATTAGGTATGACGTAAAGCTCCATTTTATTTAATTTCATTTCCAGGTCTAAAAGAATGTCTACGATTATTATGTCAACACATGCATCATTAAATGAGTAACGAGCCTTTTTGTACTATTAACAAGGAAGAGACCGTTCATAGTTTAAAAGTTAGTTCATATTATAGTCACATTGCATCTATTCATAGCCATACGCCGTTCGCAGTAGGATACTTTCTTTTACTTTTACATTAAAACATTTCTATTATTAAAACAAAACGTAAGTCATTTCTTTTTCCTGTGGTTTTAGAGTATAGGTCTACTTTTATTACTAAACACAGTTTGACTAGATTATTTTTAATTATCTTTAACATGTGAAATTAGGGTGAAGATTGCCTACCTTTTCCAAATGATGTTTATTTTTCGACTGTTATATTTATCTTTAGCTGTTTGGACATTACCCAACTCAGGAATCTACGCAAAACAATATTATGACGATCTCGAATACGGTAAGGATTAAGGTATACTGTTAGCTTATGATATATTGTAGACTTCTGTCCGGAAAGTTAGTGAATAATTTGGATGAAATCAAGGATTATCGTTACAGACAGCGAAGAAATGGATGGAGTTTTACATCTTACAATTTGCTATAGTTAGTTAAGGCAGTTTAATGTTCAACATTAAATGTGGGGAAAAGTTTACTTGAGTATATTGGTTCATGAAAACTTGAAAGATTCTTCATGTTTAATTGCGGAAATTTGGTTAAGTTAATACCTTTCATTCAATTGGAAAGAATGAAATGAATGGAGTTTTACGTCCTACTTTTCTGCACCATGAAGACAGTCCATTCAATTGGAGGTACATTATTTTTGTTAGAAATACGTCTCATCAATGATTCTTCGCTATGATTTGCACACAAACCGATTTTGTTTCAGACTACTTTAATAGTGTAAAATCCCAACTGACTGCAAAACAATATATCTTTCATATCAAGATGTGTGAACTAATTCTGTATTCATTTTTTAGATAGGGTGGATATAAGGCTTGTTGAACCATCTGGGAGAGTTGAAAGATCTCAAGAATTGCCGTATAAAATGACTTTTCACTTGCTTTCTGAGAAAACCAATGTCCATGTGAGATTAAAAAGGGCCCCTAAGATAAACATACCAACCTACGTTAGCAGTGGCGGTAAAATACAACAGACCTACATAGCTGACTACCAGGTTAGTATAACAACTATCCGAAACGAAACATCCACGTTGAATTAAGTCTCGTATCTGTACACCTGGGAATTCAAGAGAAATAAAGTCTACAAGACAGACCTTGTCAAGAACAAAACATTTAAACAAGGGCGGGTCAAGACACTCATCATGCCTGGTAAGACCTTCCTGGGCCAGGTAATATTATTTATGATGTTTCTGTCATTGAAACAAACTCAAACAGTTGAACTTTAATATTGTAGACGTCGGGTGTATATGTTAATGTACAGATGGGAAATGTTATGATGGTTACGGATAGAGGTGGATATTATGATCTAGTATGTATTACTCGATTTCTGATTACACAAGTGTATTGGAGTCACAACAGACCGACAGACAGTTCCTTATGATATCCGAAAATATTCATAGGATTTTACGCAATGACTTGTCCATAAGAGCAACTTGGTTTAGGAATTTGCTAGTATTATGGCTGATTTCACTCTTAAACCTATTAGTTTTAATCTTTTGAGTTCGAGTTCATTATTGTAAGCTAGTGATCAGAGTTTTGAGAAAATGCTTATAGCGAAAGGTGTCCATAACAAGGCAAGACTCTTCGTTTGAGAATGTGGTTATTCTATAATTGAGGTATTTCGATAAATAATAGAAAAATTTCAATATATTTTTACATATAAAACGACTGGTATATTTGTTCATGTTCTAGTCATCTAAACCTGAACAAACTAGTAGTCAAGGAGCCATCAGATACGGTGGATTCGTCCTTTAGAAGGTTGTGCCACTCCTCAGATACAAAAATTATATATGATAACGTCGATGATAGCCCCCATTTTATATGTAGCATCTTCTGTTCTTTTGGATTTTTGCCACATCACGATCAGGCAATTTGTATACAGTTTTCCTGTTAATTGAATTAATATAGATTTCAAATTTTCTCAAACAATATGTCATTACACTTCAAGAACTTCAACGGGACATATATGTATTGCATTTCTAAATACATCTTTTGCGGGTACATATAAAATATGTAGAATAAAGATTAACTGTTCTATGCCTGTATATCAAAAGTTTATATTGTGACTATTTTATATAATTTTACGTACAATTTTGTTATCCATAAAGCGGTATATTTTTAACAGAATATGACCACTGTATTTTGTTTCTATGTACTTTTAGAATGGCCGAGTGAATATAAACAACGGTAATAACCTTAATATGCAACCTGTAGGGTCAGGCAAACATAGACTAAGTAGCAGTGTGGTCATCAATTATGGTCCAGATGAGATACAGACTTCTCAAAAAGGTTTTGAAAATAATTTTAAATCGTTTTATTATATTTAAAAAAACAGAAGAAGTAGTAGAGTTCTTGGTTCAGATCTCTACGGGGTATTTAATGTCTGTCTGTCAGTACTCTCGGCAATTTGTCGTTGTTGCTATCATTCTAGTAAATAATAACTACTTTGATCTTTGATCTTACGATCCTTCAAAATAAGAGACCCAGCTTTAAGGAATTCATTACCAATAGCTATTAGAAAATGTTTTAAACTACATGTAGATTCTTTTAAACAGAATCTCAAAACCCATCTTTTTCAACAAGCTTTCAACTGATCTTTTTTGTGGTATTGTGCAATATTTTATGTTTCATATATTATCTGAATTTCCAGTTGTCAAATTTGTAATATTGATCACTTGATATTTGCGCTATATAAATAAAGTATTATTATTATAACAGGTCATGTGTCTCTGTCTACCATGAAAACTGTCGTGAATCGAAGAAGTCGACGATATAAAAGAGCTTCTAAATCCTATGCTGTTGAATTATTGGCAGTTACAGATTATACTATTAAACAAAGGTAAGTTATTCAATGGGTTGTTTGTATTAAAATCAAATAACACACGCGAAACAACCAGACATTGCATGCTAATATTCTGAAGTAAAGATGACAATAGAAGCAATAATCGCTGACGTAAATACCATCTAAGAACATCAGTGGCGAAATAGTCATCCTAAAATAATGAATAATGCTCAACAAATTCAGTAAAATCACTGAACTACTATTTATCAATGATATTTTGATTAACCACAGGATTTCTATAAACCTTCTCGTCAGCATGCAATTTTAAAGACGGTCATCTAGTATATACATATTGCATATTCTGTCAAATATAAATTTTACGACGTGAAATACAAACCATATACCTTTTTATGTCATTGCAAATTGAATTAGATTGTTTTTATTCCACAAAAAGTGAAGAATAAGTAGGATATAAAACATTTTTGCCGACAAACGAAGTTATCAAAATTTGTCCATTTGCAGGTTTCTATCTCGAAATGGTGGATCCGAGGACTTGGCTAATAGCGAAATAAAGACATATTATGCCTTCTTGATAATGGGAGTAAGTTTTCACATGTGTAAATTAGATTTCAATTTCATGAATAAGAAAAAAAGATACATACTGAATCCACTTTTAAGGATTAATGCGTACTTAAACCGAGATATGGTGAACACTAGTAACTTGGAGCTCTAATTAATACTGGACTCTTCGTATCCCATTCTGTCCACAGAACTGGCCGATTCTGAGACTATTTTTGATTCGGTCAAGTTGTCATTCTATGGTAATGGAACCCCCTTTTTAATGTGACACGTACTCTCTGTATATCATGTCGAAAACAAACTGTTGCGTAATTTGAGACTTATTACGGCTCATTGCTTCATTAGTACTATGTTGTGTTCGATTTTCAGATGTCAGAAAGATATGCAACTATAACTAATTACTATCCTGATGTTGATTTTAGTATTAAAGGTGCTGGCATCGTTATATCTAATGTAAGTTTGCATCTATAACACCCTAATTCAGTAATAAGATGATGCTCAAGTGGAAGGCTGTGGGTCCACCGATAGTCGAAATCTGGGAACAGTTGTTGATAAAGCGACATACCGATATTATCCGTCGCATAAAGTCTATTTCTAGCTGTAGTTTTGATGACTAAAAGTGTCGAGAATCCCGACTCACGGAGGTACGTCGTGACGAAGGGCACCTGAAGTTCAGAAACCATATAAACCCCCAACTAAATTCTTCTCCTACAACAGTGCGCCACACCTAAAAGCCCAGGGTATAATCTTGTGAAAGTATGTCATTATATTAATTGTATTCCATTTCTTTTTATTTTAGTCGGCAGATGATGCAGAATATCACCAGCGAAGTAATAAAAATGGAATATTACAGTATATTACAGCCTTGTCCGAGTTCACTGAATGGGTTTATGAAAACAGCAAAAATGGCGAATTGCCGACTCATGATCATGCCATGTGGTTCACAGAGTAAGTTTGTCACCTTTGTGTTTAACATTGTCATCAGCAGCAACAGAAGCATTGCATCATCACCAGTACAATCTGTTTCTTAATTAGCAAAAATGAGATGAAATGGGTTTTACTCCTACTATTTTGCACCTAATTGGGCTCATTAAGTTGGCATTTGCAAATGGTATCATGGCTAATTTCATACGCATCATATACTATTTTTTCAGTATGCTGTAGACGTGATACAGAATTGACTCAAATGTGTTAACATTTAATATATATGACTTTATTTCAGTGACTCTTTAGCAGTTGGTAAAAGTACTGACGTCATTGGTAAGCATTTAAATCTTTCATGTTATTTGAAATTAAAAAGATAGTTTGCCAGGCAATGTAAACATACGTCCACACGGTAGCTTTGATATATTTTTTAGATTCAATAAAAATCATCATGAATCATAATGATTAATCTGTGAAGTGTCTTTATCAATTCCAATCATCACACTTCGCAGCTCATGAACAAACTTTGATGCGTTTTAAGTTAAGTGCACTAACTAAGGTAACACCAATCAATTGTCGAAATCAAAATTAAGATCTCATCAATACAAACATCACACCAAATTTCCATCTGTAATCTCACAAACACATTTTGAGACATTAAAGGAAATAACTCAAAAACTTCATCAAATTCATATTAGTCCAACACCTCATCAATATATAATAATGATCACACCAATTTCATACAAATCGGATTAAAACAATAGTCTCTATTGTCTCTAATTTGAAGCGTTTTTACTTAGTCAAGGCCAATATTCAAAATCCGTTCATCGAAAAATCTTCAAATTCGAAAAATCCATAGTCTTATCAATATATGGTCATACCAAATTTAATTTTAATCACCTGCAATCTAGGGCTTGATCTCAAAAACAGTTCATGGAAAATTCGTCAAATTCAAGCTTGTCCAAGATCGTATCAAGATATGACACTTAATAAAATTGTAGTTTTTATGGCGCTCACAAACAAATTTTGACTAAGTTAAGGGCAATAACTAGTAAACCGTTCATCGAACTTGTCGAAGTTTTCACCAATACGAATTATCATACCAAGTTTCATTGAAATCAAATAACAACTGTAGTCGGACAGACCGACGGCAATACACGTTTCTTTTTTGCTCCTGGTTGCACAAAACGGCGTGATTAACATACTAGAATAAGGCTATTCCATCTGAATAATTTGGCGATTCATACGTCCTACTAATCAACCCGTCCCTAGTTCTATTTGTATAGCCATCATGATTTATTGAAGAGTTTCAACACACTAATGTTTCTTGTAAAAACAAATATTAAGCATGTTATTTCTCCTTTCCATACTTAAAATTATATCAACCGTGGAATAATATAACGTGTAGCTGTTCTAATTAATGTATGCACATCTTACTTTTAGGGGTGGCATGGGTTGGTACCATGTGTACTAAAAATAGTACATCTATAGTAGAAGAGTATTTTACTGGTAGAACTGATCAAATAGCAGCACATGAACTTGGTCACAGGTAATTTCTTCATTCCAATAGTAAGTTGAGGTAACTGTGATCTATAATTCAGGTAGTTGTTAAGCACCACGCATTTCACAGTTTCTAAGACTATCCGTTTTTATTTTGAAATCAGACAATTAACGATTTGGAAAACACGGAGCTTAGTATCTTGATCTGCATTGAAATCAGATTGTGAATAATATAATGTTATTCGCTGCTTTTTTATGTTCTATTTCGTCATAAATTTGGTCCAGGTAAACTTTACGCGCATCATATAGACTTAGTCTATGTTTGCCTTAGTATTTGATTTGCGTTTTAGTTTAAATGCAGTGCATGATGGAGATGTACGAGGTTGTTCTAATGATGATTCCTATGTTATGGCGGCCTCGTCATATTTTCCTGATGATAAGAAGAAAAGCAACCCCTGGATATTTTCAGAATGTTCAGCCCTGTATATTTCTTACTATGCACCAGAGTAAGTTGGTTTATCATATGTCATGTTATGTGATCATGTTCTCGGAAGAAATTCATAAGCTGTCGTGAACGCATCAATATTGCGTTTAGATTTTTCTTTTATATAGCTGCAGCCATCGTATCCCGCTACACTTCAGTATCATTGTCCATCTATCAAACATTCCAATCGAGATTTTCCTATAAAGATTTTTCACGGCCAATTTTGATTGAATAATATTTCTCCATGAATACGCATTTCTATTGCCAGGGTCCCCGGTATGACGAATAGGGGATTGCTGTGGAATCGATGAGTTGCAGCGTAAACTGCCATTGCCTTTTAATTCGGTCCAAATTGGTTAATTCACAATTTGCTGCCCGTTACGTCAAGTAATGTGTTCTTAATGTTTTCAGATTTAAGTGTTTAAGTTCACTTAGTGCAACATCGTCTTTATCAACGTCAGTTTTACCGGGACAATACCTTGATGCTGACGAACAATGTAGAATCTTTTATGGAAATACCAAATCTTATTTCTGTAGGGTATGTGTCTTACAGTAATTATACTAAAACTTGCAGACATGGTCTCTGTAAAGATTCCTCTAGATTTCGAAACCCAAAAAGGGTTAGCAAGCTGTTGCCAGGTGCCTCGAACAAGCAGCTGACAAAACAACTGTACATACTCTCACGCGCAAGTCCCGAGTCCAAGCTCTTGAAATGATGTCCCTCTAGGGCAATACATGTACTGGGACACAATACTATCGGTCTGAATACAGCTGTTATGGACATCAAAAAGAGTGTTAAGAACAAGTTAACCCGTGTTTTTTTTTAAGTTTTAAACATACCACATCCTTGACTATGGAGCCATAAAGTGCAAAATTTTATTTCAGAATGAACAATTAGAAGGATTTGGATTTGACCTAATGTGTCAAAGAATGTATTGTTATGATCCATCGAGCAGCTCATGCCAAACTGTCATAGCTAAAGATTTCACTTCTTGTGGAAGTGAAATGGTAAGAGATTTCTGAAAGCTTTTGTTATCCCTACCTATCTTTTGAGTTTAATGAAATCCTGTTTGGCATCTCCACTTAACATGCGGTTGCGAGTGTCATTAGCTAGGCAAGGCGTACTCCCCCATTAGTAACACCGAGATGACAATGTATGTTTTTCAATCCCGTACCTTATTTTACATAGGACTTCTTAACAGTGCATGTATATATAGGGCAATTATAGCTTCTTCAATCTGTGAAGAGCATTCCCATTCCTGCTTATATTTCTAAGTGTAGACACTTTTGAGACCCCGTTTGTAGTGACACATAATTCAGAAATTTCTTTCATTTTTATAAGCCAACATGAAATGGGCGGCGTATTGTCGTCACCCATGCCCGTTCGTCCGTCGGACTCACAATTCGTGACTGATTTTGACAAAATATGGTATGATTGTAATCACCCAAGGATGAACCCTATTGAAAATCAGAAAAATCGAAAAATAATTAGTATGAGTTCTTGAAAATGCGTCCAACTTTTAGCACGTAAACACTCTAAAAGGCACAATCCTTGCTGGATTTTGATGGAACTTGGTGTGAGTGTTACTAATCACCCAAGGATGAACCCTATTGAAAATCAAAAATAAATAGTATGAGTTATTGACCTTGTTCTTGAAAACGCGTTCAATTTTTAGCCCATAAACACTCTAGAACGCTTGATGGATTTTGACGAAACTTAGTGTGAGTGTTTGCAATCAAACAAGGATGAACCGTATCGAAAATCAGAATTGAAAAGTATTTAGTTTGTTCTTAAAAACACGTTCAAGTTCTTGTCAGATTTTGACAAAACTTGGTAATATTATTCAGTATCGCCCCAAAAATTTCAAAAGAAGCGTAAGACTTAAGGTTGAATATTTCATACTGGTAATTGCTACTGTACTGCCAAATATTTTTATTCAAAATCAAGTGGGCATATATTACCTTGCCTGGTAAGCTATTTTTATTATACATCTGGTCTATGATAGAGAGCTATCATTATATGCTATTTATTATTATTACTTTACAGTGGTGTTTTCAGGGTGCTTGTGTAACTTCAGCTTCGGCTCCAGTAACACTAGGTCAGTACGTTATGTTTTTCATCTCTATATTATTTGTACTCAAAGGAATAGATATTAGACTAAAGAAAACACTCCTTTTAACCCGAAATTTTTGTTTTCGTGGCCTAATCCCAATAACTTCACATAGGTCATGGGGCCTCAAATTTGTTGTTAAAAGGATTCGTGTCATTTCTTTACAGACAAATAAGCTACCTTGATACGGATTACATGTAGATATCAATTATCCCCTGATAGTCAAATCATTACGTATACACGATCAGAAAATTTGTTTTACATGAGATTGTTTCTTCTTAGCCCTGACATTTACTGTAGCAGTAAATAAATCATTATATGTAGCAGTTTGTTGAAGGGCGTTTCTTGTTGACTGATCAAAATATTACACAATGATTAGTTGTAGAGCTACAAAATGTTGATATTATCATGTATTTATTTAGTAACCGTATTAAACACTAGATATGTAGATAAATATTCAAAAAATTATCATAGATTTACCACCTGTAATCTTATTAAAACTACTTTTTTCATGGAATTCATGGATGACATTTAATCTACTGTAGTTATTTTTTGTTTCAGCAAATTGTCCTCAGGGAGATAATAAAGCCATGGGTTGTTATTCATCTGCGTGTGGACTATATGATGCAAGGAAACTTGTTGATTGTTGTCAATCTTGTGTGGGATATGTACCGGTGGTACAAACTAAGAACAATGATAAAGCCAAGCGTGGTGGTGGGGCTGTTGGTGCAGGAGCAATTCAGGGTCCTGGAATTGAAAATGAAAACGGAAATACTATATGTGAGACATGGGATTTGACTTGTATATATTGTAAATCAAACCAAAAATATATGGAAACTCAACAATGTGTCAAATATAGATCTATATGAATTCATGTTTTTCATTTTATCACCTTAAAGGAGAATTATTTATATACTGTAATAAAAACTTTGGAAATGATTCATCAGAATCGAGGAAATAAAAAGTTTAAGAAAATCATCTAGGGGCAAAACATGTGTCCTTTCAGTGGAAAACGTCAAAATGCACATATTTTTCTTTACCAAACTGTCTGTTTTCATGTAAATCTCCAGTCGGTCGTTTTCCACCTTGCCAATAATCACCTGCTGAGCATGCAATTGAAGGAAAAACGAATCTGAGCGGTTGATGGCGGCCTATCTTGCAAACTATAAAGCTATCGGAGACAATTATCAAACTTATAATTCATGTGGGCGACACGATGATCTTGTGTGGAAGCACGGGCACACGCAAGATTTTTTCTCAAAATTCAGGTCGGCAACAGAAATCTCAGACCAAGACCGCTAGTGTGCCCGTACCTTTGGATATAAATGACTTAAGAATTTGCACACATTGCATAAGTATAAAATAAAGATATCGATGGTGAAATCGGATAAAATTCAATTCAAAAAGTTATCGGCAAAATTTACCTTAAAGAGATCGTCCCTGTTTAGGTTCTTACTTTTTTCTACAGAATCTTGTATCAGTTTTTCTGAATATTTCCGTTTACGTAGGAACGATCGTAGTTCATCAAATCTTTGTGTTTGTATTTCAGAATTGGACACAATGGTTCGGAGTCGACGTGCTAGATTATACGATTGACTGCGTTTAGTATGACTTGGATGACACGATGTAAACATAAGATACTGCTTTGTATCGGTTGGTTTATAGTAGATATCAGTTTCAAGTTTTATCCCGACATAAAGATTAATGTATCCAGAAATGGCAATTTTGTATCTTATTGTATCTTATTATAGTAGCATACGTCGGGGCCGTATTTGATCCCATAGCGGTTCCCTTTACCTGGCCGTAGATATTGCCATCAAATGACCTAGGCTAATCCGCTATAGGCTATTTCATGAACAAAATGCAGGCTTTATAAGACATAACTTCATTAATTTAACATCGTCTGTCATAGTTGAAAAGGGCGAGCTGTGCCACTGGGAAAGGAAGGTTTAACAAAAGGTTTAACATAATATTATTAAATGAACATACAAAATTTATCTAAAATCCCTAAAGGCCGCCCGATTATATCTGACTGTGGTAGTGAGTCATATGCAGTGCCAGAATACATTGATCATTTCTTACTACCTCTAGCATGTCAACATCGCGCCTACCTTAAAGACACAACCGAATAAAATAAAGAATCTTCGAGTTCCCTCTAATGCTATTTTAATTTCTATCGACGTTTCTTCTACTGGTTTAACGGCAGTTTGTAAAGCTTTTAATAGAAACCCAGATCCAAACAGACCCAACGATGCAATTCTACAGCTTTTAGAGATTTGTCTTAGTCGAAACGATTTCACATTTAATGGTAAAACATATTTACAAACTTCAGGGACAGCAATGGGCAAACGATTCGCCCCTTCGTACGCAAACCTTTTCATGGCAGAGTGGGAACGTGAGGTGTTGCCCCTCTGTCCATTTGACCCACTTTTTTACGGACGCTTTTTGGATGACATTTTTATGGTTTGGACTTATTCTATCGAACAGTTTTGGAAATTCTTTGAAATTCTCAACAACCACCATCCTTCTATCAAACTAACCGCAAACGTGAGTGACAAAAGCATAGACTTTCTCGATACCACAGTCTTTAAGGGAGATTCCATAGCAGAAACAAATAAACTGGATATTAAAGTGTATTTCAAAGAAACTGATACTCATCAACTCTTGCACAAGAGCTCCTTTCACCCAAAACATACCTTTTCTGGTATAATTAAGTCACAAGTTTTACGATTTCATCGAATTTGTACCAAGCCTGTACTGATTTCTCCAAGCCAGTACGATTGTTTT